AAAAATAACACAAAAGATGAATATTGAAAGACCTTTTGTTATGAATGACCTTATCCATAAAGGTAGTTATATTGATTTTTTTTCTATGATTAAGGACCTTTCTGTAACTGTCAAGATGCCTATAGCTGTATATATAGAACTTGTAGTTATTTCAGAATGTGTCACTAAAAGTATTTTAGAAACAATTGTCTTTTCTTTTCCTCTCTTTACCCTCTTACTTTCGTCTCTTTTTTCCCCTCTATTCATTTATTTACTAACGTGTTGATTTTTCTTGCCTCCTCGTTTCTCATCTTCCTTGACTGCTTTACATATTGTATCAAAATTATGTTATCAGAAAGGTCTTGACTGAATATGTAGCATTCAAGAATATATTCACTGCTAATTGTAGCTAATTGTTAAGGGTCATATTGATAGATATTTGTGGTGCAACCTTTATGATAGCATTATTGTATATTATGGAAGAAAAAAATTCTTGAAAATGTTCTCATGGATTTGATTGCATTTGTATACAGATGAAAGAAAAGTTGTATCAAAGTACTTTGTACCCTAATGAAATGTAAATTTTTTGAGAAAAAATATTTGAATATTAATAAGATATTTTGCTAACTGATATTTAAATTTTATTCTGATATATATTCCAGATCTAACAGTATTAGTAGTTGTGAAATAGTATAAAAAGTTTAAACTGTGTAATGATTGCCTGACTTTTTGGTTTTCTTTTTATAGAAATAAACTTAATAGTAAAGTTTGCAGATCAGTGAGAAAATATTTTAAATATTTTATTTGAATATGAACAATACTTAGTCTTTATTGTGGGAGTTGTTGTTTAGAAAATACTCTTAATAAAAGTGCATGCCTTAGTATTTTCCTATGTGCAATGTTTATGAGGCTGTAATTGGTCGTAATCATTCACAACAGTTAAATTTAGTGTTAATCATTAATGTGTAATTTTAGATTTATATACACTATTGACAGGAATAGTGTAGTATGTTTACTATGTCTTTATATATGTAACATAAAGTATATATAAGTAGTTTTATGTATTTCTTCTTTTGCACAGTCACTGGGACTATTGAATTGTGAATGCAGTAAAAAAAAAAATAGAATACTTTTGCATTATTGACATTTGCATTTATAATTCATCCAAGCTTCATTCTATAATTTTATTAACAGAAATATTTTCATTTTGAGAAATATAAAGACAGAAAACACAATTTAAACATTATGATTCCATAGCCTTTTGAACTTTATAATGTCATTTACAGATATAATTCAGTATTCTGATCAATAACATTTTTTTTAGACATACTTTTTAAATTCATAAACACTGTTGTATCTGTTAATTACTCAGATTTTCTTCATTTGAACATGTAAAATGTGACAGCAGACGTTCAGGGTAGTATTCAATTACTTTTATTTTGGGGTAAAATGTCTTCCCATATCTACTTAATATAGGAAGACCTTTGCCAAGAGAGCATTTGGGGGTGTTGTATTCACCTCCCCTTTTCATATACCACTGCAGAGTGTGCTGTGTTTATAGATAAAATGCAACCATTTTTCAGGTATAACTGTTTGTCTATTCAGGTTTAAAATTTTTCTTACTTAAATATATTTTTAGTACCATCTGCCTTTATTGCAATGGTCATTTTCATTATATGTGGAATGGTAATAAGTTAAGTACATTTCATACCCTTTTCACCTGTTTTTTTGCACTTAAATAAATATGCTGTTGTAAGTTTTCAAAAATTGTTTTCCTTTTGCAAAGATATATAGTATGTATTTTTCTTTATGCAAACAATTGCTCGCAAAACCAAACACAAAATGACACTCACATACCAAAATGGGTAGTAGGACTAATAGAGAAATAGTAGTATTGCCACAAGGTATCTGTTGTAAGGTTGATATTATGGATGTATCAGAAGGGAACCTTCTATTACTAATCTCCCATGGAGGCGAATCATATTATGCATAACATTTCTGTCAGGTGTAGTAGGGTAACTCAGGCCTACACCGTTGCTCAAAAAGACATGAAAAAATATCACTTAAACTAATCTTTAACACCAGACAGTTATTGGATTTGAAATTTTCTTTTATTTTAGGTACGTAATTTCCAAGTAAAGTTCCAAAAAATCCACTTATATCTCAATAAAGAGCTTTGAAATTGAATCATTCGCCCCCCCTTCTTCCCAAAAAGATATTTAGGGAAAATTAATTTGAAATTTTGGTATTTTTAACTAATCGTTTTTAATATTATTTTCCACTTGCAATGTTTTGCATGAAAAGAAAGCTCAAAATGTATATTAAATGTAATGAAACTTGCAGTCTAATTGGCAATGTGGTTTGTTATATAAAATAAGATGCAAAAAGAGTCATTCAAGAAACTTACAATTTTGGAGTTCCTCAGGTACCATTATTGACATATGTATAATACTTTGGTATATAATTGATACTTCCATAACAGTTGTATGAAGAGTAATAAAGATATACCATTGATACTTTACAGGAGACTACTTGGCCTATTAACACAGTTTGTGTAACATATATATTTTTCATATTTGCATTTTTAATGATTCAGCAATGACTAATATGGTTAAAACAGACCAAATATTGGTGTAATTCATTATTACATTTTCAACGCAATAAAATGAATAATGGAGGGGAATGGTTAGCTAATGCCTGGGAGCTGGGGTACAGAATGTCATTTTGGGTGTTAATTTATTTTCATTAAATCTTCTATGTACTTTACACTTTGTAAACGTATTAACACATGCATTGGCTAGCACATGTTATCAGGAAGTCACACACAAACCACATTTTAATTGCACAAATACTCTAATAAATGATTGCCCTAGGAGTTTCTTTGGGTTTTCTAATATTTTTCGTTACTTTTCATCGTTTCACTCAAAGCCATTCATGCCTGGCATACATTGGATATATTTTAAGTCTCGCCAAAAGGTAATGTTGCAATTGAATGTTTTCGGATCCGTTGGAATGATCAAGTTTACGAAAAAATTGAAAATCCTTGAACAAATAGTTCCGGTCAAGGTTTATGTTAATAAGAACGGTCTTGTAACTTTGACATGATCGCTCGTGCAGGATTGTGTCATTGGTGATTTACTCAGATGCCGGGTCAGATCAGTGTTTGGCTAGTATAGACCTTGGCCAGAAGTGGGTGGAGGTGACAAGTGTACAAGCTTAACGCACATGTATCCAAAAATGCCATTGTTTACGACGGCTGGTTGCCATGCAATGGGTTGATTAATTGATCGACCCATTCACGAAAAGCCAGGGCATTATGTAATTGTTAATTAAATGTGAAAACAGCATTCCTACTATAGATATCTCTCCCTAGCACGAAGATCTGGAATACAAACACACCTTCGTGTTCCTGCACATCTCAAACAAATCATACAAAGGAGATAAAAATTATAATGTTAACAGCAGTGATAACAAGAATAATAGTAATGCTAAGAAATGAAAATGGTAATGGTAAGGAAGCAACAAAAATAATAAACAAAAACAACATCGTTAAAAACAGACAGGCATAGAATATTTATATGCTGACGAGTGTTTGATGAAAAAATCAAACACTACAATAATTTCTGCTCATTATTTTTGTCATCAAAACCCGATTTCACAGGTAATCCGGTACCAATGACTTCATACCCTTAACCGCTCCTTTTACCACACAAAGAGAACATACTTGGAACCTATCGATTGAAGGGGTATTCTTCAGAACCCATACCACACGATTCCTTTAAAAGTTTTGATTCACACTATACCAACACATTAGATGACCATCAATTGACCGTACCTGGCTGACAACCTGTGCATTCCCATTTTTAAAAGAGTATTTGGCAACTGATTTTAAGTTAACTATATACAGTAGAAAATGAGTCATGTAGTGTAACGAAATTAGAGGTATCTTTTTGTCAAATGAAAAAATATATTACTGAAAAAATATAATATTTTGCACAATTTAATATTCACAGATAGTCTTACATTACTTCGGGGAAAAAATAAATGGGTAATGTAGACTTATATCATCATCATCTGGGAGCTAACGTCGACGGGGGCGCATAGCCGCGTCCACTCTTCGTTTCCACCTCTTGGGGGTCCCTCATGGCAAGCCGCCAGGCAGGGACTCGGACCATCTTGCTTCCCAAAGGATCCTATGGGAAGCAAGCCAGGTGGCCATATTGCCTGAGTTGGCAATCACGGATTGTGTAAGTAACAGGTCCTGTGCCAGTCTCATGGTGCAACCGTTGGTTGGACACATGGTCCCGCCAATAGTACTCCATGATCCAGTGCAAGGACCTATTAAAGGAGGCATCAAGACGAGACTCAAGATAATGTCGAGGTTTCACTAGTGTATAGCAAAACTGGCATTATCAGGGCCTTGAAAATGCGTAGCTTGGCCCTGCTGCACAGGTACCGGCATCTCCAAATACTCTTGTCAAGAGAGTTAATGACCCCTGCTGCCATGCCAATCCATCTACTGACTTCCTGGTCTGACAGCCCAGAGTTATGAACTAAATTATCAAGGTATGTAAAGCTCTCTGTGACTTCAATGTCCTCGCTGCAAGCATGCACCGACTGAGCAGGTTCTAACAAGTTCCCAAAGTCCTGGATCTTGGTCTTCGTCCAGGAGACCTTTAGACCCAAGGGCTTCGCTTCATTACTAAACGCATCCGGAGCCACCACTAAGGTTTCCAAAGACTCAGAATAGCAACATCATCAGCAAGGTCACGGTCTGTAACCTTGATATTACCAATGGCTTTGAACAGTAGCTCTGCCCAATATCCAGTCCATGCAAGTGTTGAAAAGTGTTGGTGCAAAGACACAACCTTGCCTCATTCCTGAACTAACAGGAAAGAAGCTCGACAGCCCCCCCCCCCCACACACACACGTTACAACACTTTTAGTACCAGTGTACAGGCTTGCTATTAGTCTAATAATCCTTGTTGGAATTCCTTTCAGTCTCAGGATCTCTCAGTGAC